ATCCCTCTCTCTCCGTTGCAAATGCTGGTTCTGGTATGCAGAGCTCAGGTCTGTGTTTTTCTGATCCGTTTCACGTTGGTGAATCATCCTGCAATAAGCAAACACACCCAAGGTGCTCTGCTTTTCCTTCCTCACCGCGGTCGGCTGAATCCTAATCCTAAGAGCCAAGGACATAATTTTGCATCTCTGTTGTTTTTGTAGCTGCTTGGAGAAGTATGTAATAAAATCTGTCCCAAAACTTGTCCTGAGGGACTCCAGCTCCCTGCACCCTGGCCCAGCACCCTCCCCTCGGGTTGTTCCTCATCACTCAGGTCCCACATTCTGTATCTTTCTCTCTGCCTCCAGACTCCTGCCAAACCAAATGTTTTGCTGACACTGGGGAGAGCAGAGCCATCCTTCTGTCTGCTCCCTCTCCTGTTGTCCGCAGCAGTGCACCCTGGCTCTTCTGCTCTCGGGAGAGGATGGGATGAGCCTCGTCGTGCCTGTGCTCGGGGGCCTTGGGTGCCCTCGGGCACTGATTCATGGCAGCCCAGTTTGGGGACACCAGGTTTTGTCCCTGTATGGTGCTAGGCCAGGTGCATAGTTCTCAGGGACACTTTATCCCGGAGCCCAGGGTGCCCTGGCCTGAGGCTGCTCCTGAGCATGAGAAAACGAAGTGATTTAGGGATGCCGTGTGTGTTCCCAGCCAGAGCTCCCCCGGGATCCCTTTGCCCGTGGTGCTTGGGGCTGTGCAATGGCTGCTGCAGCTTTTTTGATCTCTTCCCAGGCTGTGAGCTGACTGCCAGTACCAAATCCTACACGTTTCAGGTGGATGAGGAAGATGATGCTGACCATATTTTGGCCCTGTCTGTGGTAAGAGAAATGAGAATTGATGGTGCTCGTCCTCTCCAGTAGTTTCCCACCTCCTCATGCCCCCCCTTCCCCAGCTGGACCAGGGGACTCCCTTGGCTGAGGTCCCAGCACTGGCTGCTCTCAGGACAGGGCATGGGGCTGTTGCATTTATCTGTTGTATGGAGGTGCTTGAGCAAAGCCAGTGGTGGCAGGACGCTGCTCAGCAGAGGAATACTCCAGACGTGGGGTGAAGGGAAGTATTTTTCCCTTGTATTTGACCTTGCTGGAGCCTCCCACTAGAACATGGCCTCCTCACCAGCTGGGTCTCTGTCTTGCTGCTCTCGGAGCCCAGGTAGATGCAGGGCTTCATTCCTGGCTCTCCCTGCGGGATGCTTTCTGTCCTGGGAGCACAGGACCTGCCAGCATGGATCAGATCAGCAGAAAATGCAGCCCAGGTGCCGTCTCTTGAGGTGGTTGCAGGAACAGCTGTCCCAGCTGAGAAAGGCACAGAGCAGAGCCCCTCCGGAGGCAGTCAGGGGGGCAATTGCTGCAGGGGGGGTGCTCTGTGCTCTCCCTGTTTTGTGGAGCAGCATCCTTGCACCTTGAATGGCTGCTGGACTGGTAGCATTGCTGTGGGTTGCTTGTCCCATGGAGAGCCCCGGCTGTCCCTGCTGTGTCCCCTGGGAGGGCAGTAGTTCACAATCTCCACTTCCATCCAGGTCTGCCTCACAGATGGTGCCAAGGATGAGTGCAACGTGGTGGAGGTCGTGGGGCGAAACCACGAGAACCAGGAGATCGCTGTGCCTGTGGCGAATCTGAAGTTGTCATGCCAGCCCTTGGTAAGAGAGTTTTGAAGACTCGGGTGGGGATGGCTGCAGGGAACTGAATGTCTCTGGATGTTTCTGGACGTTTCCCCATGGATCCTGACCATTCTGCAGCTTGTGGGGAAATGACCTGGGTAGCCTTGGCCTGGTTGCAGATGCCTTCAGAAGGACATGTTTAACTGGGCCAGGTGCCATGCAGGGGACTACAGGACATTCTCCGTTTTGCCTGTGCCCCTAACCCAGCTCCATCTCTGTCTCTTTGCAGCTGAGTCTGGACAACTTCAAGCTGCAGCCCCCGGTGACCTTCCGCCTGGCAGCCGGCTCTGGCCCGGTACACCTTC